TTGTTTTTATTCAAGTAATTTACGTTAATTATATTTTTAACTATTTTAATCTTGTATGGCGGTGGTGAAAGAAAGAAGTTTAGCAGAGTTAACGAAAGCGCACGATGGATTCCTTCTTTTCGCTGCTTGGCGAGAGCTAGAAACACCAAATGCAGCCAAGGCCTTCCACACCTGATCATTCCAACAGTTTAGAGGTTTCTTCTTTCCCCTCTAAAACCAGCGGTTAATGCATTGAAAACTTTCAAAGCTGACTAGACCAGATGATCTAGGCAGAGAAGCCGCTGTCTCAAGATTGGCTGAACTGTGTCAATATCGTCGTATACTTGGTTATATCTACAGGTACATGAAACCGATTCGCGAATGCGATGACTGTTTGTTTGAAGATAGCAGATATTTCGTCTTGCCCACATACACTACCATACCCTTATGTTTGCCTTCCACATCCAGTCTGGAGGAAGCAGAACTCACGCCAGCAGTTGTACACTCTTATAGCAAGATGTACGCTCCATAGGGCGATATTGCGACAATGAACGGCGCATGCGACCATATTCTGTAAAAAAGGTGATGCATATACTTTTTAGCTCTTCCGCACAATATTTGAATAGCTTCTCCATTATCTATTAGCTCCAGCTACTTTCTTTTCTGGGTTAAAGGAAAAGCTGCAAAAAAAAATTCCATTATGCTCTAATATATCGATGTATTTATGTACTTACCAATGTCCTTTGATTCTAATATTTCTATTTCTTTTGCGTTAACCTCTTTTTTTTGGGTGGGAATGACTGCCAGCGGATCAAAGAACTCTAGTTAATACATATAGGTGACTCATACTGAGTATATATGTTTATAACTAATATTGTCATACTCGTTTAAACAGATTTTCCAATCGGATTTATTTGGTTGTACACAAAGCGCGCCCCGCTACATTCAAGCAACCAATATTATTTTTTCCCAAACATATTTTCTCGCCAGTGGCAATATTGAATGTGTCGTTTCCATCGGATTACTTACGAACCATAATTTTTTATCGCTTCCCACCCAAAAAATATGAGCTCGAAATAAACACTTTGCTTTTTGTGTTCATTGCTTTGTTGGAAAATGTTGAAAAAATGTGTTTGCTTATCTTAAACTCATTTGACTTCATCTCTTTTATCATTGCATTTGATTCTTATGAAGTGAAATGTTACGTCTATATATCTATTATTGTATATATACACACATTATATACATATTTATTTCCAAAATTACAAATGTTCGCTTTTATAGTGGAGCTGAAAAGAGCTTAGACGAAAGAATTGCCTCATCGCTGTTGGGTTTTGTATTTCTAAAAATACTTATATTTATGTTCGAAAATGAGGTTTTCTAATTTGCAGCTTTTTTACCCCAAAGCATGAGGTATTTGGCTTTCTTTCTACTGACTTGACGGGAAAAAATAACGAATTTGTCTATAACTTCGCGAGAACATGACGAAATATTTCAAGGTAGAGACATCTGGTGGCTACATTAGCCGAGTGACTAGCATTCCATACTAGCTTATCTATGACTAGACCTCGAGTCCTGCTTCAACCAAACTGCAAATAAATAGATAATATGTTTCTAATTCCGCCCACCCATTAAAAATTGGAGGACAAGCTCAATCGAAAATCGCTTCAGCGGTTCCAAACCGCCATCCGCTGAGCGACTGGTCTCATACGGTGCAGAAGCTTAAATGATTACCATAAAAGATGAGATCGCGTTAAGAGTCTTTGGAAAAAAGTTGAGATCAAAGGGATGGCAGGTAACTCAAACTCTGGTGCCTGTTATTAGCGAAATTCGAATCGCCACCGTTCGTACGTCAACAAAATGAATTAAATTAGACTAAAAAACTATGCATATGACCTCTGAAGTAATAAGTTTTGGATTTGATTTACAGTTGGAAAAAGATTAATGAATCATGAAACTGAATAAATTTTTGTTTGGTTATATGTTGTGCACTAGTAATAAGAATTGTTTCTCTCTTCTTTTACTGTCAGAAAGGACTTAATGTGAAATTTTTTTTTTAACATTTCATAGTAGATACCTATATAGGGAATTATGGATTTTTTTAAAATGAATAAAATATGAATATATTAATGTTCGGTTTCTATTTCTGAGTTATTAGTGGATTCAATTTCGTTGAATAACCTTATTTGCACAAAGATGATTGCTAAGAGATATTGCAATTCCAAAATTATTATAAAATAATTAAAATTATCGTTCAGAACTGTTCTGAAACAGATTTAATTTAATTACTTTTCCTTTTATATATCAAAAAATTAGTTTTGACTTTTTTTTTTATAAATCTCTTTGAACTCAACCACAATAATGTAAGTAAAAAAATAATCACACACAAAAGTATGAGAGGAGTGAATGCGTTTTCTAGTTGGGTGAATTTACGTATATTTCTACTCTCATAAATTCCAAAATTAAGGCATTCAATATTTTTAAACCTACTAGTAGCTAGACTAAACAAGTATTTCTCATGATCGTTCTCAGATGATTTCATAATTTTAGCAAATGCATTTCATGAAGATCGCATTTGGTGAGTGCAGAGAGTTCAGTTAAGCGAAGCTTATGTAGGAAATCTCAAACGACAAGGTTTTTGGCTGTTGTTTGCGGAGTTAAAATAAATGAATTTATATATGCAGGCGTGTATGTAAAAATGGGTAAATAATATATATATATATATATATTGGGCATGAGTCCTGGTTCTGTCGTAAATGAAGCACTTTTTTTTTGTTAACCTAGCAAAGTATGGACATATACTACACTATATTATTAATTTATTGTCATTAATATTTTAAATTACATTGGAGTGCGCTCTCTGTAGTGAGGATTTTAGTTGTTTTTTCAATATTTCTTCTTATACATTTTTTCCTATTTTTTTTTTGCTTTGCCACAGCATAATTGAAGAAACAAACGCATAAGGCTGTAAGCATATAAGCACATCCGGAGCATAATTTATAAGGTATGAAGTTATATCTGTGTGTACTGCTATATATATATTTATATGAATTTATTCATTATAATTCTCTTGATAGCGGCAGTGAAATTGCCGGTGTTAATATGGGACCCACATGAAGTTGGTTCACTTCATCGCTGTAGGTAGGCATGGTAGAGGTGGGCGTATATGTATATACATACACGTACATAAACAAAAATATGCTTTGGGGTATAAAACTATACTTTTATGCTATATGTAAGTCATATATTGCATTTGCTGAGCAAACAGTTTTCGGACTGCAAAGTCTATATGTAAAACTTTCAATTGAAATGGAATTTATGAAGAAAATTTAAAAAATCTAGTTATTCAGCACTGCTTAGAGTAAAAGACCAAAAATATTTGATTTAGAATTACTTGCAATATATATTTATATATCGTATGTATATCGCTTTGTAACCTCTAACAAAATTTTAGGCCGAGCTCCTCTTCCTATTTGCGGTATGACTCTTAATATTTTTCCAACAGATAGAAGAGCCTACGGTTTAACTTTATAAGGAGCTTTAATTTTATGTCAGAAATACCCTCGGGCCGCAATCAGAAAAGTTATTTTTCTATAATTTTGGATCTAGGTCAAAACAGAACTCGAACCCTGGCCCTTAGAATGGCCGGACCCAATACAAAGGACTAAATTTGTTCGACGAAAACGGTGCCGATAACTAGAGCAGCGAAGCAATGGGTTACTTCCAGAGTCATTGTAAGAGTATCGTAAATATAAACGCTAAAATCATAATTGCAACTCCAAGTACGACAACAACTACAACTATAACTATCACTATGAAACCCTCTGCAACTTAAACTTCAACTGCAAATACAACTACTACAATGACAATTACAATTAACCCGTCAGCTACAACAATTACAACTAAAACTATTACAATAACCACAACAACAATTATTACTGAAATTGTAACCATAACTGTGCTTACAGCTACAACTAGAAATACACAACTAGCTGCACTAATTCACAGTGGACCATCAATAGGAAGAATGAGGCAAAAATTAAAAATTCCTAAAAATTACCTAAGATATTATATTAGGAATAGTTGAATATGAAGTGGAAGTCAGATTAAGAGTTTCAAAAATGCGAAAAATTTTCGCAAAAATTATTAAAAAATAAATGAAACGACTTTAAGTTTACGCCTGGCACTAGCAACATTTGTTTACGATTTTTTTATTATTATTTTTTTTTAATAATTTTTTAAATATTTTTTTTTTATTTTTCTCAATTTTAAAATTTTTTATTTTGTCTTTATTAAATACAGTTTACCACTGTTTTTAAATCGAAAACTTACTTTTGCATTTTTTTTTAATTTTTAACCCAGTGTGCAACTTTTATTGGTGTTTTTGTATCACAGAGAAATTTAAAATTTCCTTTAAGTTAATGACTAAGCTTAAATTTTCTTATCCGCAATTCTTATAATAATTCTTGCATATTTTATTAATAGAAGACTGTAAGTTTGAGCTTGGAATATATGTTCTTTTAACTTTATTAATTATTATTAGCCCTGGGTAATTCTGAGAGAGAAAATTTTCTGGAATTTGGCTGCAAATAGAAAAAAATATAATCAATCTGAAAAATGGTAACTAGATTTAAGTATTTTATATTAGTCACGCCAAAGGGGCTGGTTGCAATATGCATACATACATATATACATATGTGAGTATGTAGCGCAGAGTCACTGAGGAATAATCTGCTCACAGTGCGGAGCGGAACGTGACTTGGATTGAGCGCACATTTTTGAAATTTTACTGAATATAGATTGAGATGATCAGTAAGTGACTCATGCATGGCGTTTGCATGCTGGGAGAGCGAGTGTTTATAAGTGAGTTCTGCGGTGCAACAAACAACGAACGAGATTTTCACCCACTGACATTAATTGAGTTTAGTGCCGCAATGCAAGTGAAGGCGTAAATAAGTGCTTGTTGATACGGGAAATTAAATTTCAATTAATAAATGCGGAGGCAGTTGCAGAGTTTCTTAATTTTCTAAATTTTCCAAAAACAATTAAATAAGTATTTCTGAAATTAGTTCCTCAAAAACCAAAATCGTATTTTTTTTTCTTTATTTCAGTCAAAATGTTGCGATTACTCAGCACTAAAATGAGCGCAAATTGAGAGTGGCTTACTTTCACTCAAAACAGAACTATTTTTTGTAAACTTTTTAATTTTCTAATTTTAATACTGATTACAATTCAAAGCCGGCAAGCGGCTACATGTGTAACGCGTTTAATCGAAGCTGGAAAATCTGTTGTAATTCCCCGTAATTACTGCTCTCGCACGCTATACATAGTGCATATTCTGAGCTGTTCAAAGAGAGAAAAACGTAATGTCTACAATACTTGACCTACCCGACGTGTGCCTGGTAAGGATTTGCAGAAAATTAGCCGGCGATGAACGAATGTTTCATTGGGTGAATGTCTGTCGTAGATTTCGGAATATTTACTATGAATACTTTCACAATTGGAATGAAGTGAATGATGATTTGGTGGAAAATTTTGGTCATTTGATTGGCACCGCTGACTTTCCGTTGAGAACTGTTAAAAGAATTCAATTATCGAAATCCAAGTGTACTATAGAGTTTTTGAAAAAATTACGCAAATTTCATAAGGAGATTGAAGAAGCGAAACTCTTTTCATTTACCGATGAATATCTAGCTGAACTTTTACCGTTACCAAGTTTGAAGCTTTTAATATGCATTGGAACCTATAACCTCAGAGGTGAGCATAAATTAAGAAGAAGCAAGTCAAAAAAAAGGAGGAGAAAAATTTTGACATTAGCTTCGGTTAGGGTTGCCAACTTTTTGTGTAATAAAAAATTAACAAAAATGGCAGCCCTATCTGTAATAAAGTGTGATTGGTTATTATTTTATCGGTATATTATGTATGTGTTTATTCGTTCACTTGTCTACTTTATTCATATTCTAAAAAGCTGGCAACCCTACCCAAAGCTGACGTCAAAATCGGTTAGAGTTGCCGTACGTACATAATAAAAATATTATTACGCTCAATTTTGCTAGTGACGTGAAATGTTTTAGTAGAGAAGTGCAGAGTTGCCAACTATTTTCAAAGTATATTTAATTTCTTAAATTTTGCAATCCAGCATTTTTATCGTTTAATTTTACTAAAAAAAAATTCAAAACACCCACTTAAGGTCGCAGCTTAATAGATCTCAGCAGCCTCGAGGAGCTACACATTCACACAAACAAATACTTTGATGCGGAAAACTTGCTACAAATAACCCACTATAATCCATTACGTAAGCTCGTTATACCCAACGATCCGCAAATATTCGCCAATCGGTACGCCTACGAAATGGTGGAAAACTTAAAAGAGCTGGTGGAACTTGTCGTCGAATATAATCCCTGCCGATCCTGGCAATTGATAGGCAAACTGCCAAAACTAAGGAAACTGGAAATCTGGGATTTTGTCAGTCATGAGTGTGAGACATGCTTAGCAGACGGCAACTGCTACGCGACATGTTTCTCCCAACATGCCAAGCTCTTCTTTGAAGATTTGCGACAGCAAAATCAACTTCAGGAACTCACTTTTTGCGATGGTTGTGTGGGCGACTACCACATTCCTAAAATTGCTGAGTTAACGAGCTTGAAGAGTTTAAGGTTTATCCGAGCCTCTCTACCGCCCCTATCACTTGATGTCTTCCAGACTCTTAACAATCTGGAGGAGTTATATATTGATGGCGCTGAGCGAATTTATGCGGAGGAATCTTTGGAATTTATCAGAAAGTGCTTCAGTTTGAAAAAAGTAACCTTTTGGCGTGTTCAAGGTGTAACTGTGAGCTTCGTTGAAAAATCTAACGAGATACTAAGGCAGCGTAAGCCACCACCGACGGAGCATTTGGTCTTTGGATTTGCTCCTTTTGTTAGGTTTCCAGCTCAATTGTCTAAGGTGTGTATATGTATCGTGTATTGATATACTTATGTGCATTTACTAACGGTACCTTGCATTAAAATTAATAGCCGAAAGACTTCCTAATAGATTTGGTACTGGTGCAAAGAAAATTTGTTGCCGCCGAAGAGGAGCATTTGAAAAACGAGGAAGACTTCGTCAGCCAAACTCAAGTCCAAGGCGAATCTTTGAAGCGAAAGTTTTCCATGTAAGTAAAAACGGATATACCAACCACTGATATTCAACATGAAAGCAAGAGAGGTTTTTTTTAGACGTGTGGCTTTCAATGAGAACATTTTTTTTTTGGAGTTCACATTATTGATAGCCGTTACTTGGTTTACACTCAGTTTTGGTATGCCAATTCATCATAAACAGAAAAATAACACCAAAACAATAGTTCCGAGGAGCGGTGACCATCCACTTTATGGAATGTTCTGCAAAGTGTCTTGGTTTGCTGGCATAAAAAATTCAATTTATAAAAGAATTTGAAGCTGAGCGCCTATCAATCGCATGGTGCGTTCAGTAAATGGATCCAAAACGACCGGACTCGGTTTTAACATGAAAATGCTGTTCACCAATGAAGCTTACATTTGGTTGCGTAGTTACGTTAGTAAACAAAATTTTGACATTTGGGTTGATAAAGTTCCACAAACCATACTTTGGAGGTCGTGTTAGCCAAAGAAATGAAATTTTTGGTGAGCAAATTAACTCGTGCCGTGGGTCTTTAGGGTGGCCCCCAAACATCTTAGGACTGTTCTTTGAGAGTTGCTTGTTTACCAGACCGTTGTCTTTATAATAAATATAAAACTTCAGCCTTAGCATTAAAACATTTTAAAAAAATCACCCTTTAAAGACATCAGAGGCTCAGATGTTTTACAAAAATTTCATTTGACTTATAATTTTTTCTTTGCATTTAGTATGAATATGGAGGCGAGTCCAAGGTGGAAAATATAAAATCTTAACTACGCTACAACGGAAAAAAACGAAAATGGGTCTTCTTCTTCTTCAGCACACAGTACGACAAAGGGTTGAATAAATATTGTTTTGTATAGTCACAAAAAAATAAATAAATACTGAGGAGGCATAATTACTAAAAGCATAGACTCGAGATGGCCATTTATTTTTTCAATTTTTGTTTTAATTTCCTCTATACATTCGTACATATTTATTGAAGCAGAAGCAGTTTTTGCGGAAATTTTATTTTATCAAAGATCGTTGCCTAAGTTGAGAATAAATCTACATATTAATATTATTTCAAATATTGTTGACTGGCATCGCCGCCACCTCTAGCACATTCATGACTGCAAACAAATGAGAATGGAATAAATTTCGAAAGTCCAATGGAGCTCATCGCCATCATCAGCAGCGGTGCGCACGACCGAAAATCGACGATTTAATTTGTAACCGTTTGGTGAGTGCGAATTCCATGGGAAGCTTGATTGTGTGTATGCACATTCCGGTGGACACATAGCCGACAGGCGACAGGTGTTATTTGTGCAGCAAACAAATTTGGTAAGCAATTTCCTCTTTATTTTCGTAATCAAAACTAACTGATTGTCAAATAACGGAAGTTGGCGAAACGTGGCTTGCTGGGTTTCTTCAGTGGGCCACTGATTTAACAAAAACGGTCAGCTTACTTGGTAAAATGGAAAAAGTGTCCAGTAATGAGTAGGGCAGTCCTCCTCCACCGCATTCATTGTTCTGAATAAAAATTATATTTTATTCAAAAAATGAGTTAGAGTGAAATGGCGGCTAGTATTGTTACTGGGCGTTCAGTTGCAGTTTAATGACTACACGTACTCAGTTCCTCCTTTAAACTACCCATCGTGTATCCTAGATCGTCTAGTGCTCACCTGAGGTACCGCTATGATCTGGAAGTGGTTTGGAAACTAGTGACTCTGTCGGTCGGAGCCTTTCAAAATTTAGGCTGGCATGAGGTGGACGGTAAAAGAATGTGTGACAATAGGTGCTTGTGAGATTTGGTTAGTGCCCGTATCAAGAAAAAGTCATAAATTTAGCATCTGTATCGGAAATTCTTCAAAAATTATTTGCCATTAAAACCAAATTTAAGGATGAAATAGTTCAATGCACATAAGGAATAAACCTCTGTCGATATGAGCAAAGATCAAGCTCTAAAAATCGCTGATTATTCACGTTCTGCTGTACTAGTAAGTTCCACATCCTGAATAATGACATAAACTGATGAGTCGACACCGCGATTATTCCCGAGTTCAAAAATATTGCACCAAGTGGGAGTCAAGATATAAATGCACCAAGTGTTTGCTTGGTGACTGTAGTTATTTCTTCCTGTCCACGTTTATTAACAACCCAACTCTCCACGCATCTTTGTAGACTCGGAAAAAGGCAGAAATAACAGCGTGGCATACGACAACAGTTGTGCCTGTGGACCTAAACGGGGTTGGGTCGCCGAAGGGTTAAAGCACTTGTTCTGATAAAATCCAGATCAACTCCGGTACGCAGAACAGACTGACTTGAGGGTTGTGACTCATCCAACTCCCTCTCCCTTTGGTCCAATCTTGTCGAAACAGCTCGTTTCCTGGACCTCCCATTAGATTACCTCGTCGACTTAAATTAATCAAACCTGAACCTAAGCGGGATCACTGAACCGCTACAACAACAACAATAACAACAACAACAGCAGGTGTACACGCTTGTATTTTTATTTTCTCAAGCATTAAATTGAAGAAATCGCATGGCAAAGAAACCACTTATTTGCGATATTAAGCAGGCTCATCCCACTTACTTGCTCTGTATAGATTAGGCAGAACACAATTGGGTTCCAATCAAAATACTGTCCATGTTGTGCACATAAGCTACTGCAAAGATCTTAACCTTCGAACTTTTTGGACGGCAATAATGCCAGCCTTGAGACTTACGAACTCATCAATCAACTGGGCAGCAGCCCCATCCTGTGATGAAGTGATAGAACATTTTAGTTGCATATCCTTAAACTATAGTCTTCTAGACATTTGCATTGGCCATCAACAAAAATGGGGTATCTCATCCGAGTTTTTTGTTTGTTGCCTTCGGAGCAAGTTTCAAATTGGCGTGTCCTAAAATGTCCTTAACAAAACTTTGTTCCGAATAATTTTTTAACAATCCAGTTAGTCGTTTCGAAAAAAACTGTTTGTTTTGGAAAATTTCGTGGTGCATCGACCTCTCGAAATAAGGAGCCAATATCAGCTCTTCAGTTGTTCAACGCAGGCGTCGGTAGCTCCGGTATTATTTGCACTCCTCAGACACGAGTACATCGTTAATCATTCTCTTTTTCATTTGTTCCGCTTTTGTTTTATGTTTCCTACTTTGAACTCACCTTTTTCGCTTAAGAGCGACATTTGTAACAATTTCTTCACCGCTAAGTCCAAACTAGTGGATGCACAAGGCCTTTAAGCATAATTGCAAGGCTACGAAAAGGAAATAGAAATAAATTTGAGGTGTGGTCGAAGATAAAATACAAAAGGCGATACTTGGCAGGCGGCTTGTTGATTGGGTGAGTGCAGACTGACAAGTGACAGTGAAGAAAGAAAAGTCCGCAAACAACATAAAGTAAAATAAAGTGACATAGCAGCAGCGTACTATTTAGCGAAAATTCGTTGAAAGCAGACAAAAGTAGTTGGTTAATAGCAGAGGAGAGAATTGTGTAATGAAAAAGACGAATGATGGCAAATTAAAAAATTAAAAAGTTAAAAAAAATTGCAAGGTGTTGAACAAAAATATGGTCGTAAGACACCGTAAGCATTAACACTTCGCTTTTTCTGCAGCACCGAAATTTATTTGCAGAGGAAGAGCACAAGATGAGGTGCACAGGGCGTATACGCAATTTTTTACCAAAAATCGAAAAAATCCCAACTGCTCAAGAACTCAACTAAAGGCTAGCTACATCGATTACAACAAAGGACTTGGGAAAGAATTTTGAAGAAGTTGAGAGATTTTTCTTAAAACAACTAAATATAAATATAAATTGAAATTAAATTTTTATTATCGTTTTTTACAAATAAAATATAATATCAGTATTTTATTTAAATAGAAGTTTTATGCTTAACATTGGGGACACAAATTTATTTAGTCTGTTCTCAAGAGATGGCTCCATTTGCAACATTATTTTGCTGACTCGACATTATGTTTGCCAAAAAATGTTCGGATTTGTTTCCAATAATGCATTGCGGAGAGTATTGATTGATTGATTGAAAAGAGGTAAGAAAAAGTTAAGAAACGATCGCAATACATGGTGAGGTAATTTGGAAATATAATGAAAAAATACCTGGGAAACGCTAATATGGAAGGTCTTTCCCCACTCTTGGTATTCACCGAACCTTGTTTCCATTTTTTAAATAAAAAAAACATATTTCTGAACAGCAAAAACAGATTGAATTAATTTGTGCCGCGAATAACATATTTGTCATAGAAAGGAAAGATTTCTCTAATTTTAGTGCACATTAAAAATATTTGTCGTCAAACCAAATTAAAAAATTCTTATGTTCGCGGAATGAAGGAAGGGTGACAAGTGATGACTGAGATGTCATAGTCTTACGCTATTTCTTCTCTATGATGTGCAAGTGGTACAATTTATTCAAATAAGGTATTTGACCGCAACGGAACTTATCCCAAAAGTAAAAAATTATTCCCGGAGATACTCACTCTAAAAAAGCAGCACAATGGGGCACAAAACAGATATTAGGTGGACTCATGGTAATGGTCTTTTAGGATTAAGAAAAATTGATGTTCTATAAACTGGCAAAAAGGCAAAAGGTATATCAACAAGAGTTGCGTTGCATTCGCTGCTCTCTATAAATTACTTTTCTACAGCCTAGACTTAACTCATTGATTATGAAGTCAAAGAGATCTTTTTGGCGGATTTTGAAGCGAAAATAAAAACATTCTTTAAGAGCGTGTAAATTAATCAATTGAATGATCTCAAAAAGGTATCCATCTAGTAGGTGAATATATTGAAAAATAAAATTAATTACTTTTTTTACTACCTTATACCTTCTATCTGGGGAACATAAAAATGTTATGGGGATATATTTGAAATTCTTTCAAATTTCCAATAGTTAAGTTTTTCACTAATATATTTTTGGTGCCACTATGACAACGGCAACTGCGAAATTTGTTGGAGTTACGTTTGATACTCTTTATCTTCACTCCTCTCAGTTTCCACTTTCTTTAGTTGCAACTTTATGTCTTGCGAGTCGCAAACAAACATTTATACCAGTGTATAAATGGCATTTGATATACCGTTAGTGGTGCTTGAAACTTTCTTCTGTGCACTTTTGTCTAGACAACTTGGTATCTCAGCGTATGCTTTGGCAGTAAATATAATTAAAATTTAGCTAAGGAAAGGAAGCGTATGTGGAGTGAGCGATTGACTTATGACTTTCACTTTTGACACATCACGGTTTGAAGTGTTATCCCAATGGAAAGTCGATTATATTTGTAGTTTTACCAAGGTAAAAGTGCTGACCAAAGGATCTAAGCTTTGCTCACATGTAGCACTGGGAGCGAAGTTTCGATGCACTGCCGTAAATCTTTAGCATATGTAGCGGAAAGACTCAGTTTCATGTTCAAACCATTTTGTTGGTTATCTGGTTGAAAGCTGAATGAATTGAATTGAATGAGGACCAAAGCGTAAGCGGCCGCACCTTATCTATAACGGCTCTTTGTGCTCCCTAGCTAAACTAGCTATCTTTCGCTTTGAACCTTAAAAACTGATTTAATTCCTGCAACCACGTGTGCCGACATTCAAAGTGTTGTAGCCTAGGCATCACGTAAAAAATGACGCCTTAAGGCGACCAGTCGGTTCCACTTTAGGGTAGCTGCCCCTTCGATACACCCACAAGAATACTAAGATCTCTTTTGCTTGAGTGAAAAATTAGTGGTACTTTGTTTTGTATTTGTAATACTAATAAAAGAAATAAAAAGATAAAAATGATTCTAATAATAAGTAAGACTTGTAAAACATTAAAAAAAAAATTAAATAAAAATTAAGAATTTTTTTA